CCGGCGTCACCCCCGGCCCCTCCCGCCGCCCACCTGCTGCCCCGGCGCCACCTGAGCCCCTCCGCAGCATCGCCCACCCGGGACCCTCGGCAGCACCCCCGAGACCCCCAGCGCCCCCCGTGCGCCTCACCCAACCCAGGTGTGTCGCGGGACCCTGTCCCTGCTCCGCCACCGCCTCCTGCACAGCCCGGGGCGGGTCCCACCCGCGATTTGGGGAGGGGGTCTCTGCTCGGGGAACGGGCTGGAGCCGCCGTGGGGTGTGGAAGAACCTCGGGGGGTCCTTGGCTCTGTCTCCCCATCCCGTTATTCACCGGCCATCGCCTCCAGCCCCGTCCCGCTCCGGCCGGGCTGTGCCGCCCCCCTCGCCGCCCACCCGGGGCTGGGCGTCTCTCGGACCCCCCGTGCCGTGGCTCTGCGTGGACAGGAGGGTCCCCGGCGTGGGGGTCACCCCCCTCCCGACCATCCCCCCCTAATTTTGGGGTCCAGCTCCCTCCCCACAGCCCCCGGGGCTCTGCCTCGTGTTTCCCCCATCGCTCCGGCTCAGCCCAGATCCGGGCAGGATCTGATGCCTCGCGGGTGCCCCGCACCCCCCGACCCTCCGCAGGGCTGGGGCAGCGCTGGGGACCCGCGCGGAGCCAGCGCTGCGGGCACGGCACGTCCCCAGCGCGCAGCGAGCTCCGGCCGCACGTTGGGGGCCGCGTGCTGCGAAATCCACCCACCCTCCCCCGAGCCGCGGCACGGGGGGAGCACCGGGGGTGCCACGGCGTGGCCGTGTCACCCAGCTGGGTGACCACCCGCCATCAGCACCGCCGCGCCCCCGGGGTGTCCCCCGCCCCACCGGCAAAGCCACCGCGGGGACACCGCGGGGTGCAGCATCCCCCCGGGGACGCTGCCGCCCGCGTTTTCCCCGCTGGAAAAAATCCCCTCTTCCCACATCCAGCTGCAATGCAGAGGAGCTTCCGAGCCGCCCGCACGCCTTCCCTGCCGCCCTGATTGGCGGCGACGCCTCTGGAAGGGGCCGTGGTAATTTTAGGCCGTGAGCGGCAGCAGGTTGGCATGTGCCCGCCGGCCCCGGGCACGGCCCGGAGGCTCCGGCAG